ATCTTCCACTCTCATTGCACATATAACAAACATTAAAACCATCGGCTATACCGCTCACATTTGCTAGTGCATTGTGCGCTGCACCCGGGCTTAAATGCTTTATTTTATGACATGCTGGCCCTGCCTTTCACGCCCTCAGCCACCTTAAAATGCAAGTGTATCTCACTACTTCCTGGTGTCACCAGCAGTCCGCAATGTCATCACGTTTTGCCACAGGAAGAGATGACATTGCGACTTGGAGGTGACACCCGGAGTGGTGAGATACACTTGCATTGTGAGGTGGCCCAAGCAGTGAGAGGCAGGGCCAGCTGGTCATGAAATGAAGTGTTTAAACCTGGGTGCAGGGCGCAATGCACTAGCAAATGTGATTGGTATAGCCGATGGTTTTAATATTTGTTATGTGTGATTTAAAAAAAGGGTATTTTACACTATTGGAGTCTCTCTCCCTCCTAATCACATGATATTCCTGGCAATGTTATAACTAAGAAGCAGTATACCAGAGTGGGGAACCTATACAAAAAGAAGAGCATATAGACCAACTCTTAAGTGAGAAGAGCATGGCTGTCTGGTGAGTTTTCAGCCGTGGTGGCGGTGCACAGTGGTGGAGTGGAGCACATGGAGCAGTATTTGGAACTATTGAAGCTGTATGGGGGGTTTTTGCATGAAGAACTTTAATTTGCACATATATGAAAGAAGACTTGTTATATATAGTATATTGCACATCTGTGAAGAAGCACTTTTTATAGAAAAAGTTTGCACTTGTTCTATAAAAACATGGACATTTATGTATTTATTTATTTGAGTATACACATCAAGTGATTTGGGAAAGCATTTTATACATAAGGAATTGCACTTTGTAAGCATTTATTTGGATGCACTTTATATGTTTATAACAGCGGCCCTGAGAAGAATCAGCTGCATGGTGTTAAAAGTATGATTCACATTGGATTCTGTGCTTGAACAGTATGTTATCAAGAAAGTTGATAGTTTGTGCTCTCTTGGAAAGTGGGCTTCCTGATTAGTGGTTCTTTTACCTTATAGCTCACGGTTACGCTGGCAGAGTGAATAATGTTATGATTCTGCAAAGTTGATTTTCCATTATTCACCTTTTCTTTATTAGCTTCATCTATGCAGAAATCTAATGAAAATGAGTGAAAAAATAGACAAAATTGTCAGAATGGACGTTTCCTTTAACAAAAAAAGGCAAATGTCAGTTCTGATCTTTTATAAGAAAGCATTCCAATGTGTATTCAAAGGGTATGGAAACATGCAAAAAGTGAAAAAAAATTATAAGTTGCACATCAATAAATGCATTCATAAATTAGAATTCATCACGTCTACTTTTTGGGCTGACTGCATGTTCCTGTCAAGTGCATTTCTATAAAGCAGGTCTTCAGTACAATGGTAGCAGATGGTGTGATTATCTATAAAACAAATTATTAAAATGCATAGCAGAGGAAAGCTCGGTGCTCAAAGACCTGAAGACTTGCCATGTGTTTGTTCTTTCAGCTATTCATGAACCAAAGCACCAACATAACTCATGTTAATTGGACTATTGTTTGCTTATTTTCTTGGTAATTTACATTTTTACCACCACACATACATAGGGATACTTTCTCTTATCCAAGCTGCCCATAGACTCTTAAGATTTTGATGATAACTGCTGTCTGTTAAGGTAGAACATATGGTGTGATCTGCCCAACAAGAAGATGCAACGCACAAGGTATCTACTAATTCCTTGAATACTTCTCCTCTTAATGCTATTCCCCAGCCTGCTGCCCATCCCGCACACACCCTCATCCAGCCTTACCCTAATTGCTAACAATAAGAGGAAAGAACCTACCCAAATGCTACTTTTACTCACCTAAATCTGAGGTCATTGGGAATTCTCGTCCCTAGTCTTCTCTTCTGGCTACATGAGTCAGAAACACCCTTCAGGTGTTCATATCATTGTCTGCTTAAAAAGAACACAGCCTATTGGTTGGCCAGCGATGGGGTCCTCTCAGCATCTAGAAGAGGATGTTGCAGCAAAAGAGGTCCAGGCCCAGTCCCCTGCACCTAGAAACATAGCCGAGAGGAACCTGGACAATGGAATTAGGAGAGTAAAACATTGCTAGACAAGGAATTAAAAAACAAACAAAAAAAAGACCAAATGTGGGGGGGGGGGGGGGTTAGGGATTATGTTTTATCAGATGGGATTCAAGTTACACAGTAAGATCTCTGCTGGTGATATGTACTTCTGATGTTAAAAGTACCCATCATCACCCTTTAGGGTAGACAGCCTGATCGTAATGTGAGCATTGCAGTAAGACACTGAGTTAGGGCTGAGATTGGGCTATTTATGGACATCCTTAAAGCCAAGTAAAACAAAGGCCATCTAATCAGAATAACATATTTGGGTTATAGAAAACTGGCTCACCACTTACAAAAGTTGGTATGTCTGTTGAATAAAACTGAGTAAGACCCTTCTGAGTAAAGCAAGAATAAAACAACATATTCAGTTAGATAATTATGTGTCTAATCAAACCTCCATATAGATTTTCCATTCACCAAGTTTGATTTATAAACTGGAGGACAGGAAGGGTATGATACCCATAGCATTCAATAGCATAACAATCTAATTATTTCTTTACTTTTCTTTTACAATGGATTTTATTATAGAAAAGACAACATCAGAGAAACAGTCATAAACAAGATCACTGACCAACAAAAATCAGACATGCAAGTTTTCTGATGAATAGTACCATGAATGCAGTGAAGTGGAAATAAGAATACAAGCTGAGTACACAAGCGCAGTATTAGAGGAGGTAAACTAAAACATGTTAATTTGCAAAAAAGGCAGGCAATTTGAAACCAATGAATTAGTAAACATAGAGCCAAGATTATCACAAAGTCCACAAACAGAGGGTAGGAGAAAAATAAAACATGAAGTCTCACTGAGTGTGCATTGGTACTCCATGCCCAGGACTCCCAAGGAAGTCCAACAGGTAGATACAATATTGCTGGTACAGTTCTTAGAGAAAGAAGTCACAATCAGTGCATATATCATGAAAACTGGCAGAACAGAGAAGAGAAAAGGAGGAACGAAGAAAGAAAAGACAAAAGACAAAGAAAGGACTCCAGGCGATCGCAATGGAAAAAACATATCGTATATAGACAAAAGGGACTGGTCAAACCTAGATGGTTGGGCTATATCAAGCCAGGGGCACCAGTTCTGCAGAAACTTTGTGTAAGTTTCTAACAGCATAGGCGTCAGTTTCTCATTAACCATTATAAAATTCATCCAATTTTTGACTGTGTCGAAGCTGTGGAGGGGGGTCTTCCAAGCCCTCGTGATCGTTAATTTGGTAGCCATGAATAGATACGATGCCAGCTGCCGTTCAGGATGAAGCAGACCCACTAATGGTTTAAATAATAGCGCTTTGTTTGCTTTACTTTTAATTAACTTGTCAGCTGAGTATTTTTAGTGGGAAGCTGAGATCAAAAAACATTTGGGGCACGACCTCAAAATAGCAGAAGGAAAATTAAAAACTAACTTTACTGAAAGAGTAGTTGATGCTTGGAACAGACTTCTAAAAAGGTAGCAAGTTAATGAATTGCAAGCATGTTGGCGATAACCAATGTCTATACTGAGAGAAAAAGGCCAAAAAAGGTAGACTCTGTGGACCACTTACTCTTTTTCTGCTTTTATTCTTACATGCTTTTAATAATTGGCTATTATGGTCAATTTCTTGTTCTCCAACCCTCTCCCCAAAACACCACCCCCACACATATGGTTTAAAAAAATTCCCCCAATACAGTACATATCTTAAAGTGTTACTAAACCCAGGACCCTGCATTCACTATATCTGGTCTCCCACAGTACACAAAACATGGAAATACAGTTATTTTAGTAAATATAAACTGCTGAATACCTGTTCTCATCAGCAGTTAGAGCAGCCTTGTGACTTCTATCAGTGTCCAGCTGAGCACTGGTTAAAGCTTGTAGGAAGAGTCTTCATTCTCCTCTCACTGCCCTATGAGATTGCATAACCCCCGAACCCTCTGTCTGGAGAGTGCTGATTGGCCCTGTGCTGATCATATGCTTCCTCCCAAGAAAAAGAAAAATCTCTCTAGCAGTAAACACCAAACTGAGCATGTGCAGAGTGTCCCCGAGGCTCTGTTCTATCAGGAAATTAAATGGGGAACATGGAAGAAGGGGAGGATCAGAGAAGACAGGATCAAATATCTTTTTTACACAATGCAGAGGATTAACCCCTTACATTCCATAGTGATTATAACAAGCATGCTTTACTGCATATACAGACTGATTTTAGGAACACTTTAAGTTCACCATGTTCCCGGTCAGCACCCCAGTTCATAACTTTGCCCAGGGGCCCATGATACTGTTAAGGTGGTACTAAGTCCAGCTCACAAGAAGTGAGTTGAATGATGCAAGAGGGACGGCATCTGCTGAAGGAGAGGATTTTATGTGAGGCACACTGCCAGATCGAAGGTGAGTATTGACAGGCAAAGTATTTTTTATTACTAACTGAAATTTTACTACAAATATGTTACGTATGATAATATGTTCCTTAATTTATCTGGAAATACTGGAGGGCAGGGGTTGAAGATTTTTTTCGCCATTTAACAGTTTGCCGTCCAGCCACTGTAGAAAAACGGCCACAAGGTGGCACCGCTGGGCAAAATCGCGGTTTAAAACATGATATTGCAAAACAGGTAGGGGGTGCGCCCAAGGTGCGCGACCACCCTACCCGTGCTGCCGATCGTGGCCGCGGGTGTCAATCACTGGGTCCCGGCCGGTCATTACCCACCGGGTCCCGGCGATTGCGGCAAACAGTGACACAGAGCACATCTGCATTGTTTACAATGCAGCTCTGCTCCCTGTCAGTTCCTAACACACTGATCCTGAGAGAGGAGTTTATCTCTCGGGATCAGCATGTTCCTGTGAAGTACACACCCCCGCCCCCTAGTAAAACACTAACCCTTTCATTGCTTAAAAAAGTTAACCCCTTCCTCCCCAGTGCCATTAGTACAGTGTCAGTGGTTTTTTTTGCACTGATCACTGTATTGGTGTCACTGGGGATGTCAGTGACCCCAAGTCAGTTCCCACCCAGTGTCAGAATGTCCGCCGCAGTCCCACCCTAAGTCACTGATCACTGTCATAAATTGCTGATCACCGCCATAAGTTAGTATGAAAAAAAAAAATCCCAGTATCTTTCCCGCCATTTGTAGACGCTATAACTTTCACGTAAACCAATTAATTTACACATATTGGGATTTTTTTTTTAGCAAAGACATGTCGCAGAATACATTTTGGCCGAAATTTATGACGAAATTTGATTTTTACATTTTTTTACTGGACATGTTTTATAGCAAAAAGTTCAAAATATTGTTTTTTTTTCTCAAAATTGTCAGTCTTTTTTTTTATAGCGCAAAAAATAAAAACCGCACAGGCGATCAAATACCACCAAAAGATGGTGGGGAAAAAAAAGGACGTAAATTTAATTTGGGTGCAGTGTTGCATGATCGCGCATTTGCCAGTTAAAGTAATGCATCGACGTAACACAAACCGCTTCTGGAACCGCTTCCTGACCGCCCTATAGCAGAAATACTGCTACAGGGCGGCATGGGTGCGCAAAATCACATATATATATATATATATATATATATATATACAGTTGCAAGAAAAAGTATGTGAACCCCTTGGGATTACGTGGAGTTTTGCATGAATTGGGCATAAAATGTGCTCTGAACGTCATCTAAGACACAACAATAGAAGAACACAGTCTGCTGAACATAATACTACACAAACATTAGATGTTGCCATGGTTTAATTGCACATAACATGTAAACATTCACAGTGCAGGGAGGAAAAAGTATATGAGGCCCTAGCTTAATGACTTCTCCCAGAGCTAATTGGAGCCAGGAGTGAGCCAACCTTGACTCCAATGTGATGATATTGGATGTGTTGCTGACAGCTGAACTGCCCTTAAAAAACACACTCCTGTTTTGGGTTTACTGGTTTCAAGAAGCACAATCTGATGTGAACCATGCCTCGCAGGAAAGAGCTCTCAGAAGACCTACGATCAAGAATTGTTGACTTGTATGCAGCTGGAAAGGGTTACAAAAGTATCTCCAAAAGCCTTGATGTTCATGTGTCCACGGTAAGACAGACTGTCTACAAATGGAGAAAGTTTAGCACTGTTGCTCCTCTCCCTAGGCGTGGTCATCCTGTAAAAATGACTGCAAGAGCACAGCGCAGAATGCTGCATGAGGTAAAGAAGAATCCCAGAGTGTCAGCTAAAGACCTACAGAAATCTCTGGCACATGCTAACATTTTTGTTGACACATCTACAATAAGGAAAACATTAAACAAGAATGGAGTACATGGGAGGACACCACGGAGGAAGCCATTGCTGTCCAAAAAGAATATTGCAGCACGTTTGAAGTTTGCAAAAGAGCACCTGGATGTTCCACAGCACTACTGGCAAAATATACTGTGGACAGATGAAACCAAGATTGAGTTGTTTGGGAAGAACACACAACACTATGTGTGGAGAAAAAAAGGCACAGCACACCAACATCAAAACCTCATCCCCACTGTAAAACATGGCGGAGGGAGCATCATGGTTTGGGGCTGCTTTGCTGCCTCAGGGCCTGGACGGATTGTTGTCATTGATGGGAAAATGAATTCCAGAGTTTATCAAGACATTTTGCAGGAAAACGTACGACCATCTGTCAACCAACTGAAGCTCCGCAGAGGATGGGTGATGCAACAGGACAATGACCCAAAGCATACAAGTAATTCAACAAAACAATGGCTGCAACAGCACAGAATACGCCTTCTGGAGTGGCCCAGTCAGAGTCCTGACCTCAACCCGATTGAAATGCTGTGGCATGACCTTAAGAGAGCGATTCACACCAGACATCCCAAGAATATTGCTACACTGAAACAGTTTTGTGAAGAGGAGTGGTCCAAAATTACTCCAGATCGTTGTGCAGGTCTGATCTGCAACTACAGGAAACGTTTGGTTGAGGTTATTGCTGCCAAAGGATGGTCAACCAGTTATTAAGTCCAAAGGTTCACATACTTTTTCCTCCCTGCACTGTGAATGTTTACATGTTATGTGCATTTAAACCATGGCAACATCTAATGTTTGTGTAGTATTATGTTCAGCAGACTGTGTTCTTCTATTGTTGTGACTTGGATGACGTTCAGAGCACATTTTATGCCCAATTCATGCAAAACTCCACGTAATCCCAAGGGGTTCACATACTTTTTCTTGCAACTGTATATATATATATATATATACATGATTTGCGCTCCCGTGGTTTTCACACCCCTCCCAGATAGCGTCAGATTGCCCGTCAGTACACCAGTCATCACATTTAACCCCTTGATTGCCAGGAGCACGCTAATGCACAATAAACCTCCATTGCTAGTATAGTGTCTGAACGGATCAATATCTTTGATCAGATCAGCACTATACCAGTGTTCACATTAGTATAGCGTCCCCAAAAACCCAGCGTTAGCGGGATCAGCCCCGGCACCTGCCAGCACCTGCATTTAGCCCCTACGCTTATCCCCCTCTTCTCCCCCAGCAAGTACCGTGTCAGTAGGTCACTGTCACTTGATACATTGGACACAAAACCGATGTGTTCACAGAAACAGGCCTGATCTCTGTTATCACTTGCTGGTAAATTTTTGATGACTCTCATATGCAGCAGAGTGCCAGTACTAGTGCCACGCTACCTTTTGGTGAACTGCGAGTACCAGCGTTCTAGTACATCTTGGTCTTTCACATACCTCCTTGATTTTTAAAGCTGTTTTTCACGGAATATCTGTATGCGTTGATTGTGGATCAAAGCAATTTATATGCACAACAATTTATCTCAGCCAACCCAAATTCAAACCTTGCCAGACCAGTCGCATGGAAACTCATTATGGCTTCCAAATTTACATTTTTTGGGGGCCTAACCCTCAACATGGGCATTACTAAAAGAAATGAATTGCGGTTGTATTGGTCCGCAGACCCGATTCATCATATGCCCGTGTTCTCTGCTGCCATGGTGTCAGGAATGGACTTGCCAGTAATGGTGGGACTCACCTGCCTTGTGGGCTGCAGTACCAGGGCTGGCCAGCGGGTGCTCCCAGCAATCAGAGACTCAACCCTGCAGCCAGCCAAACACCTGAAGTTGATTATGCAGGTGTATTTAAGGGATGGCCAGACCTGCAGTCTCTGCCTTGGTGTGTGTTTTTCCTGGGCCCTGTATCTTGTTCCTGCATCCCTGTTCCTGTTCCTGTCCCTGTCTGGTTCGTTGCTGACCCTGCCTGATCCGGACCTCTGCTGACTTCTCCTGTTTCATCCCTGGCTTGTGACCCCGACCATTCTCTGCTTGACCCCCTGTACCTACCTGCCCGATTGGTATAGACCTGGCCTGCCTGACGACGCTTGCATTGTATGTACTGTTATCTGTGGGTGGTTTGGTTTGGTTCGTTTGCACTGTGTTATGTTTTAGTATTGCACTGCGTTTATGTTTGTATTGTTAGTCTTTAATAAATTATATTGTTTTATAACTTATCTGAAGCCTGCGTTTCCCTGCGTCAGTCACATACCTCTGGTCACACCCCGGAACCCTGACACATGGCCAGATATGGATATGAGAATACAATGTGTTTTTTGCATTTCAACGACAATACACTCTGTCATCCTCGGGGTGACCCTGAATTTGGCTCCACAAAATTCAGCCCCTCGCAAATCACCTTAACCAAAAATTTGCAGATGTCTATACTCCCCAGCAAAAAATCTGCATTGATGAGTCCCTGATTAATTTTTCTGGCCGCCTTGCATTCAAACAATTTCTCCCCAGCAAGCGTGCCAGATATGGGGTCAAGATGTAGAAGACCTGTGAGAGGACAACAGGCTATACTTATAAGTTTCGGATTTACGAGGGAATAGTTAGTCACATGGAGCCCCCCAGATGCCCAGACTACATGGGGAGCAGTGGCAAGGTAGTTTTGGACTTGGTGTCATCCTTTTTCCATATGGGGTACCACTTATACGAGGACAATTTTTATTTAAGCGTGCCACTATTTAGACATTTGTACAATCCTGGAACTGGCGCATGTGGCAAAGTGTGACCTAATGTGACCTAATGTGTGCCCACCATTAGAAGTGGGTGGATGCAGGGCGGTATATTCTAATGGTGGACATACCATTCTTTTTCTGGCAGAGATTTCTTCTCTTTTTTTCATTCAGTCCACAGCCTGCATACAAAAAAAAAAAGAACATAACATATACACCCAACAAGGACCAGCGACATACTGGTACATCACTGGACTTTGAATGGTTATACCAGGATGATGCCTACAGCTGCAGGCATCATCCTGGTATAATTTTTTTTAGCCAGCTTTCATGTAAAACAATCCTAGTGGCTAATTAGCTGCAGGATTGCTTTTACAAGCAGCAGGATATGATGCCCCCTCCCCCGCTGCCTTCCACGGCCTTCTCGGGCAGTCCTGTGCCATCGGGGCAACCTGAGCATGCAGCCAGTGTTTCTGCTAGCTGACCATAGAGCTGATTGGAGACCAGAGTGGTGCCAATTATCTCTATAGTCTAAGAATTCGGAAGCTACAAGCATTTCATCACTTCAGTTTCACAGGATATAAACAGCGCCATTTGTAAATTGGGAAAGCATCTGCTCACACCGATTTTGGTTTGATTAGATAATGTAAGGGCAGAGGAGATATCTAGAGCCTGATAGACCCCAGATTTCTCAAAAAAGAATATATGACAATGCCCATTGAAGTTATAGGGGATATTTGTGATCCCTGTGATAGCATTAAAAGTGAGCAAAAACAAATAATGAAAGGTACAGTGTAAAAATAATTAAAATAACTTAAAAAAAAAAAACTTGCCGCTCCCATGCATGCACATCTGTGTGCACAAGCATTGACCCTGTGTCGGTATGTAAACAGCGGTTGCACCATACATGTGAGGTATCGCCGTGAACGTCAGAAAAAGGCCAGTAATTCTAACACTAGACCTCCTCTGTAAATCTAAAATGGTAGCTTTTAACCACTTCCAGACCGGACACTTTTACCTCCTTCCTGACCAGGGCAATTTTCAGCTTTCAGCGCTATCACACTTTGAATGACAATTGCGCAGTCATGCAACACTGTACCCAAATAAAATTTTTACCATTTTTTTGAGACAGATAAAGCTTTATTTTGGTGGTATTTATTCACCGCTGGGATTTTTATTTTTTTTGCTATGTAAAT